CCCACTCACTCACTCCCTCTCTCTCTCTCTCTCTCTCTCTGTCACTCTTACCCATTTTCCCAGGAATGACATCGAATTGTGTCGGGGCATCGCTCACAAAAATAGGGCGATTGCAAAGCTCCTAAAAACAGCAAAATTTAGTCTTGTGATCCACGATCTCCTTTGACAATGAGATTCGACTAGAAGTCGATTATTAATATTGCTTACCTTGGGTCTCTTCCATTGAAACTGAAAGGGCGGCGTTTGATGGTAGAAAACAGACGCCTGAGTCGCTGGAAATTCGGGATCTTCCCACAGCTCGCCGCGCTTGAAGCACGAACGTTTAATTCGCTCGTACTCACTCATCACGTCCTGAAAGAGTTCAAGATGTTTTCCAGTTTTCAAGCCAGAATTGTCGCGCTGTAGGTAGCCGAAAGGATTCTTCAGCTTTCTTTCCACTCCATTAATAGTTAGACTTTCAACGGTGTTGTATTCTTTGCACGTAATTCACTCACTCACAGACGGAGAGATAGCAATACGTGCCTGTTCTGTGATCAACGCATTCTAGTCTTGTGCTCCCGACAATGTATCCCAGTGGTTGAACTAGTTTTACGCTTGGATCCCCGCGGCCTTGAGAGTTCTCTTGTCTTTGAGTCGCAGCTAGCCAGCTACTCAGAAGTTGTCTCCTGCAGCGAATCGAGACGCGTAAAGTCGAGAAAGTCCGTTCGCGTGTCGTGTCAGATCTACTTGCGAAAGAATTAGGAAGGAGCAAATGAGGTAGAAGACTCATGCACGACAGGACGGACGTGTTGCTAGGAATGTCAACCGCAGAATACTAATTCGTGCCTCTCGTCGCAACACCTTATCCGACATTCCTCGACGTGACTCGCCTTTCCACAAGCGAACATCGTACGTACACATCTCGTTCGAAGCACACGACGATATACTGCTCGACGTATGCACAGTGACAGCGGAACGAAACAAGGAAGGAAGGAAGGAAGGAGGAAAGAAAAGGAATAAAAGAAATAAAGGAGGTGCACCGTTTTCATTTTCTTGTGTATATATGATAGCGAGCAGTGTGGTCAACAGGCGCGGTATGACAGGGGGTCGGAAGGTACGGATGGCCTTGAGTCTCTCCAGAGTTCATCGCATCCTCCCGATGTTCGTTCACTCGCATAAAGATGCGTTCACAACGCTCGGTAAGCTAGATCGACCGCTCGAGATTCCTGCAGCAAGTTCCATCTAGGTTTTAAACACGAACCTTGAGACTGTAACAGTACGACTCTTGTGGGCTATGCCACAATTTCTACTAGAAAGTTAAACTGAAGAAAGTCCTTCCCAACTCGCGTCCGCTCATTTGATCACGATATATTACGCCCACCATGTGTTCAATACAGCCCCCCCCCCACAATCGCAATCGGTTACGTACGAACGATGATGCCTTCTCTCTTTTTCAGGTAACTTGAATGACACTTGGAGTGTCATTTTCTTCAACTCCTCTTCCCTTACGGTTCTATTTAATCCGATACCATAGGACCCAATCCGAAATACTAACACGACACGCGGACGAGATGAAAACACACAACTGCTTAACTCGCAGACTCAGAGGCACGCAGGACAACGGATACGCAGGCAACAGCAGGCACGCACTCGCGCTGGCACGACGCCGCAAGCGGAATCGCAGGGAAGAGAACGCACGCGGTACTCACATTAACCATTCGAAGAAGCACGTAGTAGCTCTGCCAGTTGTGAAAAACGAAAACGCTTCGCGCACTGTCGACGATAGAGGAGCCTTCTCTCGAGAAACCAGACGATGCCAAGCCCGCTCGCCTTCTCGCAATGGCACAAAAGAGACTCCAGCAGATTCAAAGAGTGAAAGAGGTTAAGGTAAACTAAGAGAGGCTGGAAGAGACGCGCTCGCGCAGGAAACTCTTGCCGCGCTCGAGTCGCGCGACGAATGTAGCTTCCAGCGCGCTCTCGCCAAGCAGCCACCATCCAGCCAACCAACCAGCCAGTCCTCCTCGCCCTAGCTACTCAGACTCTGTGTCCTCGTGGCGTTTATTCTCTTCCTCTAACTCCATCTCACCACAGCGTGTTTCACCTCGCCCATCCGCACCACGCCCCTTCACTTGTAAAAAGACTCCTTCTGGCCGATCCCGGGCGGATGCCAGTCACTGCGCAGAAGACGGTGGAACCGACGGCTGTGGTTGCGGGGTTGCCGTTGCTCAGGAGCCCAGAGGCGCTTGCTGCCGGCGGACGTGCTAAGGTAAGGTAGTGCGTCCAATCGTGAAAGAAAGGGGCAGTCGCGCGACTTGCGCGGATCCGTAACCGACTCGGTTCGTCGACTTTGACTGACTCACTGACTCACTGACTGACTGACTGTTAATTTTGCTTTGCTCTCTACTGTTTTTCTTTTTAGATCTTCATTGTTCTCTTTTGATTCTCTTCTAGGTATTTCTAAGACTTAACATGTCTTGATGTTTCCCGAGTAATATGCTTCGATTGTATCGTCGGAAGGAATTTTCATTACGAATAAAAAAAAAGTCGAATCTCTCTTCTTACCTCTTATACATATTATATATTGAATTATATCATAGCGCGCAGCCCGGCGCTATTGGAAGTTGAAGTTGAATGTAATTAGGAATGGAAATGAGAACACCAATGATGGCGGCGCGATGGAAAAATGGAGAGAGAATGTGAGTGAGCGAGAACTCCGAAGTATCGAGAAATCGGAGAATCGAGAAGTCGAAAAGTCAAAGAAGGAGGTAACCTCGAACCCCACAGTAGGTCCTGCTGCGCGGCTGCTCGGTGAAAGCCGATATACGCGTTTAGAGTGCGCTTAACTTTATTTTATCTATCTACAAGCAGTTGGTGCTATACTCTAGATTTCTTTGTTGTGTCTCAATTTGGAACTCTGCGTGTTTCGTACTATCGAACTTTTGTCTTTTCACCCTCCCTACTCTCTCCTGTATGGACAAAGCGGATTGATTCAATTATAAAACGAATACCACCAATTGTCTTCTTTCTTAGAATGATCGAGAGAGACAAACTTAAATTGATATCAGCTTGTGACGTTCAAATGTAAAACAGAAAATATCTCCAACCCTTTAAGAGTTACAGTTAGGAGTATTTTGGAAAATGAAATCAATCACAAGGCCGGCTTCCCAAGCATTTCTTATCGATCATGTTACTTTCAATTTCATATATCATTTTCAATTTCAACATATCTGTTTTCTTGCTTTTCCATTTTTCAATTTTTCTAACCAATTGTGAATCAAGGATTTTCGACACATGCACACGCGTGTGAGAGTGGCGCAAATCAAAATTACCAATTGCCTCCTCACATTACTTTCCGATTTCAAACACGCAAGGAGCATCCATCTAGCGGAATATGACATAATAAGGTCTTATGGTTATGTGATACCGACAGCAACCTTGTTTATCGGCCGTCAGTAAAAATGGTCAAACTTTCTTTATAGCGTTGACTGAACAAACAACGTTCATATTTTTTTTTAATTGCCTACATTTTCATACAGCTATCGCATGTGAAATAATGATGAGTGTAATACGATATTATATTAATTTAGCTTTTTACATATCACAGCTGACCGGTGTGTAATAAGTATATTTTTACTTTCACAGTGTGGATAAGAACATGTAAAGTCAATGCCATTATTGTTTCCAGTTTCTTATTTCGATTAGGGTTCTGAGAATATAATTTTGTTTAACAATTTGTTCATTGTGCCATTACTTTATTTTCCTGCTGTGATTAAGAAAGAGATGCCTCAACGGATGAAGAATATAAAAATGAGTAGCCGACGTTGAATCGAGTGAACTGTGGGTGATGTTGTTGATCTGTGTCATCGGGAGATGGCGTATCCATCTGTCCCACCGTTTCTGTTTCGCTGCTCTGTTAGGTTAGGATTAGAATGGGTTTCTTGGCAAAACAGTTGGTTGCACAGTGGGACATTAGCAAAACATTTTTCGTGGTCCAAAGATTCTCTGTCGGACGTAATCACTTTTTAATTAGTTTCATGGAGGGTGGCGTCGGTAGTTAGGTGTCTGTGGGAGTTGAGTTGAAAGGGGAAATACTTTCGTTATATATATCTATGCGTTAATGAACCATGAATATGATCGCCAATAAGATTAACTTTTTGAAAGACTATTTATTAACTGTTATTTAATGTATTCTTAACCGGAACTTGTTAAGTTTCATATTGAACGGTGAAATTGTAACGACTAGTTCGAGAAAAATCGTCGTAGATACACAGTCAAGCACAACGTAAAACTCTCGAACATTAAGTGGACACAGTAGGTACGTGCTGTTGGTGACTACTACGGCAGTTATCGAGAGTTTGATTAGAAACGCAACTCCCCTCTTGGGGGTCTCCCGCTTAAACTAGTTTACAACAATCGGTTACACGTGTTCCTGAACTGGCACCGCTTGTTCGTCTTTGCTACTGTACCTCACGTAAGTATTATTATGTGCATTACGTCCGATGGGGAATAAACTACTAGTATCGCTATTAACGTTACTGTAAATGTCAAACAGGAAGAGGTCTGGCAACAATAGTGCGCAATTGACGTATATATCTTACTAATAATAATTGCTTAAACATACATACATATAATTGCTAGTGTTAAAATTGGTCCTCATTTTTGGATGAATAATTTCTATGAATATGTTATGAAATAAAGTGAAAATTATATCGAAAATTCGTCATTTTAGATTAACGGCCAGTTCGACTACGTTATACTGACTCGGCAGTGTCACTTTAAAAAGCATTTTGCTGTATTGGTGCTTGAAGGTTTGCGTTTAATGCATGGGTGTGTGAGAGAGAGAGAGAGAGAGAGAGAGAACGGGGGGGGGGGGGCGGGGCGAGATGGGTGAAAAGTGCAGATTCATATGGGACAGATCGAACGACGCACCCATCAGCGACAGAAGCTCGTGCAGCAGTTACATGAGAGGAGTTTAGCAACATTGGCAGGGCTGCTATCAGTTTCAGGTAATTAGACGCGGCAGATAGGACATCTCGATGGGCCCAGCTATAATACTCGACCTAATAAATGTCCATTAGGACGGTCACTCTCGTTACGGTGCGTTGGCGTCGACTCTCCCGTTGATCCTGTCCACCGATGCACCGATGACTCTCGGCACGGATCCTTCGGGATCTCCAAAGCTCGAGAAACGGAACGTAGAACTGCCGCCTCCTTGCTAATTGCAATCTCGAGGAAGCATCTCGAAGGAGCTCGGAGGCGGTCAGTAGGTATTGCTGCGATTGCGACTTGCGCCTCGACGTGGAACTAAACGATTGTCCACTTTGAAAGCCAAGAGACGCGTACTCGAGAATTGAACGGCTCTAAGACATTCAGCCTCGCCGTGCTTCGTATTACTTTACTCCTAACTAATACTTGAATGCTCGAAGTCGCAGTCCTCGAATTTCGCTTGAAAAGGAAAACGCCTGACACTTAATGTTTAGTCCAGATACCCTCGAGAAGCCAATTTCATTGACAGACGCACCTGCTCTTCTCCATAAGACTTGGCAGATTCTCTGATAATTTGAGAACTAATGGGAATTTGCGAAGCGTACTAATTGGATAGATGGTCGTACGATTGAGTCGCGGACTGAATCGGCTGGATGGGGGGCGTTATCGCGAGGAAGAGGAGCAGAGAGGAAATACACGAAGTGGATACATAGATAGAGGTAGTGCGGAGGGGGAGGATAGTGCTCTCTCGGACTCTCTCGGACTCTCTCGGACTCTCTCGGACTCTCTCGGACTCTGCTGATTGTTCCTTGCTGAGGCATGATTCCGCGGCGTAGCTCGCACCAGCGGTCTCTCGTAGTCCGAGCTTGCTCGGGGGATCGTCCAATTAGGTAGCATTCCGAAGGTTGAAATTGTCATGTCGATTGCGCAATCCCAATGGGAATAGGAAACCTATAGGATCGCATCGTCCTTTCTCTTTGAAAGAGCTTAAGAGATAATTCGGCACATCGAAGATGTACCTGGAGCGGCTTACGGGCAGAGCAGGAGAGTGAGAGAGCTAAGAAATGTCCGAGGGCGCGTAGGTAGAGAACCAAAGTTGCGTAACGGTGCCAGTACTACGTCGTGCTAGTCTGGGCCCTGAGGTCTGAGGTCTGGAGACGCATTACAATAAATGACTATTCATTGTCCGCTCGAGCGAGGCAGCGTAACTCATGTACGAGCGTGTAAACGACACGCTCGCGTGGGTGTCCCGATTCCTATGCTCTCGATTCGCCGCAGCCCCCCATCTCCCTTCCCTTCCATTCTTGGCTTCGCTCGCCTAATCGAACCTCCCCTTCTTCCCTCTCGTCCCGATCTCTCTCGTTCCTTGCGCGCTGCACAATCGGAATATCTCGAGTTGCTTGTGCTGTCGGCCGCTGCACACGGCGTCCCTACAATGGTCCCGGGGTCGGGCTCCGGGTATTACCTAGGTACAACTGCGACTCGTGGTGGTGGACAATAAATCGGGCGGCCCTCCGGCCCCCCCTCCCCCCCTCGTGCACTGCCACCCAGATCGTAGGCTTTAACCAGAGGACAGTCGTCCGGCCGGAGTGGTAATTAATGAAGCGCGTTAATGGCTAAGCGTGTAGCTAAGCGAATAGCGTGATAGTAGAAAGGTGTGGAGGTGCGGCGAGGCGCCCAACGAGGGGGGAAGGACAAGCGTCGTTCGATCGTCCGAGACATTGGGACACGGTGACGCGGAGACGCGGAGACGCGGGGTCCTACGCGGCCCCTACGTGGGCAGAGTTGATGCATGGCGTCTCTCTTCGGCCCAGTCCTTCTTTATACTCTTCACACCAACAAGAGCTACGATTCGTACCTGCTATTGACAGGGTTGGATCTATCTAACTGGTCCATCGTCCCTTCGATAAAGATGTCCTACGCGCAACTTTCACGCGTATTTATACCTCAATGTTCGATCAGATCTTTGGGGGGTCCAGCTGACCATAAACTCCAATGATGAGCGTGATGACTGCTGTGACGCGGAGCTCGCAGGTTCGGTCAACTTCGGATAACTTCGGGCAGCTTCAGTAGCCTGATCGGATTGGCTGCGAGAGTAAGCAAACGGGCGAGATCGGTTGATCGCTCGATCGCATCCGGGCTCACCTCGAATAATGATATCCGAAACCAAAATGATACGTCAAAGAGACCCACTTTCGTTCCGATCTCGATCCATCGGAGGTAATTTATATGGGGCCCCTCTTATCGAGCCATCTAGATTGAAACGAGCGCGGTATCAATTACAGTGTCGACACGAGAACGGACAGAA